TCTACTAAAGAGTATAAACGGACTACTCACACTACCAACCTTGTTTTGTATCTATCCACTGTATCTTATGTATTTTGCTTGACAGTGAATTTCCACCTACAGTCTACTGATTTTTTCTCTATTGGACAAGATACAAGCTCTCAAGTTTCATTTTGTCCCATGACTGTTTTCCAGTTGGGTTCTTCAAGGGCTTCCTGCCAACTCTGGGAAAGAGATATACAAGACAAAGACAAAACAAACACACGACAGGAGGAAGATAAGAGGTATAAGAGACAAATTTAGAAATAGGATGCTAGGTACAAGTCCGAACTCCTTTAAAGCGATATCATCAGCAGGATTGTTACAAAGAGACTCATTATCTGACACTGGGAAAGAGATCTCAAAGACTGAGTCTAGAGATAATGATTGACTTGGTGGCCCATGAGTGGTGGTTTGCTTAGCTTGTCGTCGAGTATAGCATCGCAAACCCTCCTTTTCCCTGAATAGATGTTTCTCCCTGAGGCGCCCCCTGGCTCAAGCCTAGATTAATTGTTTCTCTCTCTCCCTAAGGCTCCCCTTGTCTCAAGCCTTGATTAGAGGGTAAGAGCAGGAATCCATCCTCTCGCATCTCTTCTTCCTCAATCCACTGCTCTCCCCGAAGAAATGATAGAGAAGTGGAGAAATATGACTCTATCTCATAAAATGTGACATCCATATTAACATGCACCTTCTTAGACTAAGGATGATAACACTTGTACCTTTTTTGGGCAGCAGAGTATCCAATAAAGACACAACACAACACCTTTGGATCCAACTTTCCTCTAGTCTTTCGGTAATCATGCACAAAACACACACAACCAAGCACTTTTGGAGAATTAGAGTAAAGTGACTCTGACCCTTAAAGAAACCCCTTAGGAGTAGCAAAATCAAAAACGCTCAAAGTAATGCGATTGATGAGGTATGTAGTAGTGAGTACGACATCTCCCTAGAAAGATGGAGTACACGCATAGTGAACATCAAAGAACGAGCTACTTCAAGGAAATGTCGATTCTTCCTCTCAGCTACACCATTTTGCTCAGGTATATCAACACAACTAGATTAATGAAGAATCTCATATTCTGTAAGGTAAGGCCCACATTCACCATTAAAGTACTCAGTCACATTATAAGTCCTGAGAACCTTAATCTTGGCATCAAATTCCGACTAATATTAGGTTATATCGAATTGAGTAACCATGTCATGACTAACGAATTCTCAAAGATCCACTTAGTAAGTTCAAATTCAAATTTGGGTTTCTTATTTGCTCTTGTTAAGTATCTATTTAACCCATTTGCTAACATTTATGGGTGTCGATTCTGTCCCGTTGATACAAACCTGATACGAACGATTATTAGATACGCATAACAAATAGTCTAGAGTAATACTTTGCACTCAAAACACACAAAATAGATTTTTTTTCGTGGGTCTTGACACAAACACGACACAAATAACGATGACATTACACAAAAATGCATGATATGCGAGTCACACGACATGACACGATTGACTCCCCTACTTGCACTGATAGTAGGCACATATTGTGAGTAGGAATCCTAAATTAGAAAATCATGAATCGTAAGATTTGACACAAAAATTTGAATAAGAATAAAAAATAATACTATATATTTAAAATAGACAAAATATTTAATATTGAACATTATCGCATTCTAAAAATAATTAATTGACATAATCACGTCGTCTAAATAGAAAGACACTAGTATTTTGCTTCATTTCTATCTTTTACTTAACCATCTTCAAATTCAAAAACTTAAAAAAAAAAAATTTATTAAAGAACCATGATTATTCAAGAACCAAAATAGTGACACCCACAATAGATTAAGTTACAAACTTGAATGAAAAAAAAACAAATAAGAAAATTAATTGAGAGAAAATATACAAGCCAACATTTTGAAACAACAAAATAGAACCTAACAAACTACCCATGAAAGAATTGAGAGTAAAAATCAACCGATGATGCGAGAGCATTTGCCGTGACCTCTAACTTTAGACAACGCAAGATGAACTTTAGACAACGTCAGAGAGAGAATGAGTAAAGAGGTTAAGTTTTTATTAGGACGTGCGTTCCTATGCAAACAAAACAACGTCGTTTTACTGTTTAGCGGACAAAACGATGTCATTTTGCAAAAAAATTAAGTTTAAAAAAGAAATGATTGAATCGTACAATTCGTTACAAATCAAATCATACAATTCAGGTGCGATTCAACTCTAGAAAGATTCTCATATAAGATACGCATAGTTTTGTACCTATATCGAACCGAATCATATGAATCGAATCGTGAATCGTACGATTTTAATAACTATGGGCATGATTGAGACTACGCTAAGTAGTTCCCTCCATCCAACTTCACCGGACTAATTTGGAGAGAATGGTTGAATCCAATAGGAACGACACGACTCACTATACCCTTTTCACTATTGGTTCTTTCTTCACTAACATCAGATATTGCTTCTTAGCAATTTAAAATCAACTCAACACAAAAAAAACAGCAATCTACACTTCAAACGAGTCTTCACATAAGCCACAAGTAGCAAATAAATAGGAGAAATAACCAAGCTGTAAATAAAGAGGAGACCTAACCTGAGGAAGCTACTACCCAGCCTGAGGAAGGAGACCCAACTTGAGGAAGCTACTGCCCCAGCACAAAAAGAGGATCTCCTAAGGAATATCAAACACACAGGAGACATTAGGGGACTGCCCAACACAAAAGGAAGCCACTTATGGGTCACTGGAGTACCAAATGAATCTGCTGGAGTCCCAACCTACCACCAAAATCCTCTCTGGTCAACAGAGTTCACAAATAGGTCTTAGACACAAGAAAAACCTAAGCCATGCCTCAAAACACTAAGAGAAAAAGTTTATTGGAGCTGTCAGACACAGCCTATGACTGTCAAAGCCAAAAAACCACTGAAGATTGCCCAAAAAAACTAGGCTTTACACAAAACTCTCCCTGAGTTTCCAGGAGTCCAAACTGGCACCCACAAATCACCTTAGTGTAGATATTGCAGTTCCAAACTCATCTAAATCATAGATCATCAGATTGAACACAAAAAATTTGAAAAAAATTCAAAAATAAGAAACATACAAAAGAGGACTTCAGAAAAATCACAACCGTACTCAGAAGGAAAAACCAATTCATACCATGTCGGTTTCAATCAACTTCAACGATGAAGTCATCATTTTGACAATGATGTCATCACTTCGGCAACGACATCAACAGTCCAGTAGGCCCTCTGAATCTTCGTGAGTGTTCTAGTGGCTTCCAAAGTTGAGATACATTGCTCTACTACTAAGTTGAAATTAAAATTTAGGGTGTAGAGTGCAGAGAGGGAAAGAGAAAGAGAAGACTAAGAAAATAGGGGTAAGAAGAATAAGAGAGTAATAAGTCTCTCCGCTCATTGCCCACTGATTTATCTGACATCACACATGGGTTCCACTACAAATCAAATCAGAAGGGATAAAATGCACAGTTCACTATGGCCCGAGCAATCCTTATTGCATCTTCTCAAGTCAAGTTACTCTTTAATGGGTTTTGTCCTCCCACAATTGCACATTATTTATTCCAAAAAGTTCACAAGCAAAACAATAAAATAACAAGCTTGCCAATTCCAATCATTACTTCACTGGCAAAAGGTGCCTTAAAAGTCAAGTCTACTCCATCAACGGGTTACCATTACTAAACTAATGCTATCAACAATGAGAATTTCAAGGCATTCAATGGGAAAATTGCTCACTCCATAACCAAGGGCTTTTGGCCATGCCCGCACAGTATAACAAAAAATTCCTAGTACTACCTCGGTACCTACCAATCCCAACACCATCCAACAAAAATTATTCCTACAATGTCCAATAAAATTTGACATATGAAGGCAATTTATCTTCTACTAGTATTCTGTTCTGTAAGGTAATACTGATTTGAATCTCCTCATCACCCATCTTGCCAATACCATTCCTCTGTTGGAGACATTCATTCATGGGCTACACATGGCGTTTTGACAAAGCCTTGAATCAATTTGACACAACGGTAAATAAACCCAAATTCAGTTAAAGCAAAAAAGGCATGGCTCAATATGCTAGTTTCAAAGATGAAGACAAATGAGCCACCTCAGCTGGTTTTGTATTCAAATTACAAGACTTGAAATGAAATTCTTAACAACTCACTTACCATCAACACAAGAAATTGGTACTGGTCAACCCATTCCAACCTCAAGCTCTACCAATATATATTAACTAAGGGGAACCTATGTCTGAAGACACAATAAAACATGAGTGAGAAGTGATGAATATTTTTTTTTTTTGGGAGAAGGGGAGCAAAATTCAATATAAATGGTTGTAAGAGAGATATTGGTGACCGTTGGATGAGTTTTTTTTGAGACCGTCGAATGAGTTTATTGAAGTCTACCCTATTTTATATTATAGCTATGACCTAACATTCATTATTAAAAGGATCCTAAACCAATCAAAGAAATGACACTAACAACATGCATTTCAGCTTCTCCTGCTATCAAAAGAACTAGAATAATATGTAACCCTCATTTTCTATGGTAAGCTTTTCGATGAGGCAGTTAGCAATGTCCCAATGGAACAACTTACAATAAGGAATTATTAAAAGAACATTGCACTTGATTTACGTGACCTCAATAGGAAAGATGCAAATATTGTATCACCAATAACATTGTTAAGGATAAGGAAAAAATAAACATTCTAAATAATACCAGACTTAGGTACTTGAAAACAAAATAAACATCCTAAAGGGGAAGCAAAGGAAACATTTAAGCTTCACAATACTGTAAGCAGTAAAGCTAAATTCAATATGTATGATAGCTGAATTTTCAGGCCATACCATCTAATGAATAATGTAAAGAAAATTCGAAGCTCAATATCAAAGAACTGTTTGATGTACAGTAAAAATTGAGGAAGGAATTGCTTATAAGCTACATTAATGATACCTTCAGAGAAATGCTCACACCTGCAACCCCAACAGAAAACAACAAACAAGAACTATGACAACATAATCACAATACAAATTTGCCACAACTTATTTTGAAAATTTTTTTAGGGGTGTTTGCCTAGGGTAGTGGAAAAATGCTTGGCTAAGAACAGCAAAATTGTGGGTTCGCACACGCAAGCAGCTAATTTGTAGATGTAATGGGAAAGGCTAGGTCTGTTTACGAGACCAATTTGGTAATGACCATTTACTTTAGTAAAATTACACAACAACATCATATTCATAAAAAAAAAAAAAAAA